GCACCAAGTAGGAACTATGAACACAGTGCTAAAGTATCATTACGAAGAACAACAAACACGTACAAACTTTCAAAGTCCGTGCAAAGTTAAGAATAAAAATTTAATCTGAAAAGCTTAGGTTGGTCATTAGGACTGAGAGGGTGGAGAGAGTTTCCTGGAAACAGACTCTGGAACAGGTCTCCTGCCCCAATTGGCAATTGTGGGGCAGATACCGACTGAGAAAAGAAGCAAATAAGTAATTATGTATTACAGAATCCCATGCTATGACTTCTAATATGTGTGTATATATACGTAAAATCAAAAAGCAAGGTGAAAAATATCAAAAAGCAACAAACAAACAACTGGTTTGTTGAAATCAAGTTCCAAATAAAAACTTTATAGTTTTTGCCCACCTTATAATGAAGGGCTCAGGCTGACAACACACAGGCCACTGATCCATCTTAAGATCACGAAAATAGAGATAAAGAGAGATCATGTATTGCCTGATGGAAATACACATCAGCACCCATGATGTGGTCTTGCGACAAATCTGAGTCTGATGAACTGCCAATTTCCAGGAAACACGGAGGACTGTAGAACTTCTTAATGACACCATAAGGATGCACTCAGACACATCTACTCAGTGGGAATGAACCACAGGAATGAATGAGTAGGTGTGTTCAAGAAATAAATTAATAAGGAAAAAGAAGGAGGGAAAGAATGCACAGATTAAAAGAAACTTGAGAGGGAGCCTGGGTGGCTCAGTCAGTTAAGTGTCTCTTGATTTGGGCTCAGGACTTGAGATCAAGTCCCATGTTGGGCTACATGCTGGGCGTGGGGCCTGCTTAGGATTCTCTCTCTCCCTCCGCCCCACCCCCACTCCTGCACGTGCTCTCTGTCTCTCAAAAATTTTTAATTTAAAAGTGAGTACATAAAAGATGGGGCACCAGGGTGGCTCAGTGTGTTAAAGCCTCTGCCTTCGGCTCAGGTCATGATCTCAGGGTCATGGGATCGAGCCCCGCGTCGGGCTCTCTGCTCCATGGGGAGCCTGCTTCCTCCTCTCTCTCTCTCTGCCTGCCTCTCTGCCTACTGGTGATCTCTGCCTGTCAAATAAATAAATAAAATCTTTTTAAAAATAAATAAATAAATAAAAATTAAAATGAGTACATAAAAGAAACTTGAGAAACATATAAATGAAACACGATAAGTGGTTTTTGTTTGGATCTTCATTTCAACAAACCATTTGTTTAAACACACAATTGAAGAATGCTGAATAGACTGGATATTTGATGATGTTAAAGAATTATAGTTAGTTTTTTAAGCTGTAACAATAGTAATCTAATGTAAGTGTTTGTTACTAAAAAAGAATGCATACTGAAATATGGCGTCTAGGACTTACTCCAAAATAATCTGTGGGGTAGATCAGAGACAGAGATGAAACAAGGTTGGCAATGTATTGGTAATTGTTCTAGCCAGGTGATGGGTTGGAGTGGGGTCATTGTAATATTCTTAGCAGGCTTATGCTGAAAATTTCCCATAATAAAAACTTTAAAAAGCAAGATACCAACAATGTGTATAAGTGAACTATACCCAATTTATCCTTTTACACTTTGTGAATTCTTTGTTGAGAGAGCATGGGAGTGGGGAATGGTGGGGTTGATGGGAGGGGGGGAGAGAGAGAGAGAGAGAGAGAATCACAAGCAGACTCCTCACCCAGCACAGAGACGGATGCAGGGCTGGATCTCATGACCCTAGGACCAAGACCTGATCCAAAGTCAAGAATTGAACTCTGTGAATATATATAATTATACATAATACACATTATGTATTGAGTATATATTATATATCATATGTATATTATATATTTTTAAAATGATTTAAAATGTAAAAAAAATAGCAACTGTAGCAGAGATGGCTAAGTGATACCAAAATTTGTACTCCCCCTTCCAAAGTACAGAGCTGTAGGTAAGGAGTGGTGCCTAGCCAGGGAACAAGAGGAAGGGTTATTGTGTGAAAGCACTGGAATTGAGGGTCTATTTGTTATAGAAGCTAGTGTTACACTATTACAGCAAAGAACTCGAAGAAATACTGGGAATGAAAAGAAGCTTATAATGAAGGTATAAATTAGCAAATTCTGAATACAAACAAAATTGACCAAAGTTGTTTTAATAATACCTTCTAATTATTAGAATTTATAATGGTCAATAAACTGGCTCATTCATTTGTTTCCATGACATTTCACTATCTATATGGGATCATATACATGCTGTAAATTAGAAATCACTTTGAAATAAACAAAATAACATACATATCCTCTGAGCAAAAAATCCTCTCTCTTGGAATTTATCTTAAGAAAGTGAATGCTAACCAGAAGAAAGCTCTAGTATTGTACAACAACAGAGGTTGACAATTTCTTTGTTTTTTAGCGACAAGTAGGGAAGGGAAAAGGGAGAAAGAGAGAATCTTAAGCAGATTCCAGGCTTAACATGGAGCCTGTCGCAGGGCTCCATCTCACGATCCTGAGATCAGGACTTGAGTTGAAATCAAGAGTTGGATGCTCAACAGACTGAGCCACCCAGGCACCCCCACAGGTTGACAGATTTTTCTTTTAAAGGACCAGTAAGTCAATATTTTAGGCTTTCAAGGCCATACAATCTCTGTCATAAGTACTCAGCTCTGCCACTACAGCCCAAAAGCAGCCGTATGCAATACACATAAGTGAATGAGTTTGGCTGTGTTCCAATAAAACTTTACTTACAAAAACAGGGGGCAGGCTGGATTTGGATGCAGGGGGCTGTAGTTTGCCAACCTCGGCAAATGTTCAATGTAATATCATTTATAGTAGCTAAATGCTCAAAAACAACCCACATGTTCAAAAGTGAATGGTTAAGTAAATTAAAGAATATCCATTTCAATGACTGTACATATTATGCACAATTACAAAGACTTTATAGCAACAGACATGTTAGTAAATAAGGAATTTTGTAATTAAAAAAAAAAGAGGAAGCAGAATCCATGATTATAATCAGTAGGATTACAGCTCCACAAACTTCATGTACACACTCAGACAAGGACCAAAATAGATCTGTGGAATCTGTGGAATGGTGAGGCCATGGGTGAATTTTGTTTTTAATTTCTGTGGCTAGCAGCAATTCCATATTCTACCACGACCGAAAAGCCCATTTTGTGAACTGACCAAGAAGCTTTCAAGCCCTCTACCTTCCTTCCCAATGCTGGGCCTTTGCAAAGGCTGTTCCCTCCTCCCAGACACTCCCGCCTTCTCCTCTCGCCTTGCCCCTTCCCATACTCAGGGGAGGTTCCTTCCCTAGAAAAGTCTGACTTATGGACTAGGGAGGACCCCTGTTACCTGTGCTCACAGCGGCCCCTACTTCCTCCTTCGTGACACTCACCACCCTGACACTAACCACACTTGACTCATCCAGAGATGCTCCACCTTGCTCATTTTTACTTCCCTGGAGTCAGGGCTGTAACTTACAAATGCCGTCAGCCAACCAGACAGTCGTTGTGGAGTAGTTATCTTTCCCTGCCCTGTGCCATATGCCGGCATCAAAACTTCAGAAGGGTGTCAGCAGCATGGAAGAACATTCCAGAGACAGGAGTGGTGCAAACCTTAAAGCGCTAAGAACCAACGGTTTGTGGGGCTGAGGCGGAGGGATGGGGAATCAGATGTGTTCGGTATCACTGCCAGAGCGGAAGTCAAAGACAGCCTGTGAGTCCACCACCAACGGCTTTCAGTTCTTTTATGAACTCTTCTAAGGAATGCTCCACTGCTCTCACTCTTGATGGCACAAAGGACAACAGGGTGTGTAAAAATACTTAAAAAAAAAAAAAAAAAGGAATTTAGAAGAGGAGGGCTCTGACGGTAAAAAAGGTTGTAGGAATATCTTAAGCAATTTTTTTTCCTTCATCAGTTTTTCTTTTTATGTATTCCTAAGAGTATATAGAATTCCGATTTAATTAAGTCTAAAAGAACTCTTTGAGGGGTGCCTTTTGGTTCAGTTAGTGAAGTGTCCAACTCCTGATTTCAGCTCACATCATGATCTCAGGGTCCTGAGATCAAGCACCCTGCCCCCCATCACACTCCACACTGGGCATGGAGCCTACTTAAGATTTTCCGTCTTCTTCTCCTTCTGCCCCTCCTCTCCCCTCTCCTCCCCTCCCCCTCTCTTCCCTCAAATAAATAAATAAATAAATACATACATACATAATAAAAGTAAGAGAACTCTTCCAATGAGCATAAAATAAAAATTCCAATAAGAGAAATGTCATCGAATTACCATTTTCTTTTTTTCTTAGCCGTGCCTCAGAGGTAATAAAACCTGACACCTGTTCAGGGTCTGGATTTTGTGCCCACAGGGGAGACATGGACCTGCCCTGTTCATCACTGGAGCCTCAGAACAGGCATATATGATGAAGTGCCAGGAAATAGCGCCCTGCCAGCCAAAGGGCCACGACTAGGACCCCACCACAGAGTTAGCACCTGAGCCAGAAATAGAAATCCAAAAGTGAGTTCGCCACATCTGGCACTGGATTTGTTTAGCCTTTAATCCAATTCTGTAATGCCACTATTCAGCGTCTGCCAGCATCGTGTTAAATTCGGAATCCTGTCCTGACAGCTTGACACACTGACAGACACTTCCCTCATCCCTAGGCTTGTTTCTGTTTGCTCTGGCACAGCAACCCGCTGTTTTCACAGTGTGAGTCAGTGGAAACCTGTCAAATCAACTAAATAGGAAAGAGAGGTGCTCTCACACCAGCAGCCAGGGCAGTGAATGTCACTTTACCAGAAACTCCAGGCCGGGCATCCTAGTCTCTCCCTACTGGGGTCTCACCTGCATATTCCTCATCCTCTCCTCCCTCCGCAGGGAGACCCCCCCACCAACATCCTGGCCTGAAGTTAGTGCTGTGGGCACGCGGTACTTCCAGGCCTGGCACAGGGGCCCTTCCCATAGCGGGGCCCACCCCCAGCCCCTCACAGGCATCTCCCCACATGGCATTACCACACCTTCTGAGGAAGATCCAGATCTCAAGCATTTCATGTGGGCTGACTTTTTTGAAAGGAGGGGTATTACCAGGGGCTTTGGCAAGAAAATATACTTTCACTCATTAAAAACAAAACTAAACTGGGCACCTGGGTGGCTCAGTCGGTCAGGCATCTGCCTTCACTCGGGTCCTGAGATCGAGCCCCACGTCAGGCTCCCTGCTCAGTGGAGAGTCTGCTCTCTCCCTCTCCCCCTGCTCTTGCCCTCTCTCACTATCTCTCTCTCTCTCAAATAAATAAATAAAATCTTAAAGAAAAAAAAAAAAGAACTGCTGTGAAGGAATCAAGACTGGGCAAAATGACAAGGTGGTGGGGTTAGGGCAGTGTTAGGGGGACGACTTCAGAGGAGGGCAATGGAGAAGGCCTCTCAGGGGCAGGACAGGGAGTGGTCTAGCGGGAAAGCAGGCCGTCTCTACCCTTAGATTGGTTTCTGTTTCCTGATCTGTAAAATATTAGAAATAGGGCCTTGGAGCCTTCACGTATAGCTGACAGAAAAGGAAAGAGTAGAAAATCCTGCCCCTTAAAAGCCTCCAGCAGGAAGCGACAAATACCTCTTCTACTTGGATTCCACTGGTGAGAACTAGAGGCAGAGCCACGCGGACACAGCCGGCAGGAAATATCTGCCTATACATCTGTCCATCAGGAACCAACCCACACCGCAAAAGAGGGAGCGTGAGCTTGGGGTGAAAAGCTAAGTATCTGTCACCGCACTGAACCCTGTACCACAGTAACTGACTGCACAATTACGGTGAATTCCGATGCTTGCAATGAAATATGAAAAACAGTAGTACCTAAATGATAGGGGAAGGTCGGGAAGATTAAGTGAGGTCATTCCTGTCAAGTTCATAGAACAGGAAATAGTAGGTGACGAGCCCTCAGGAAAATTTAGCCATTGTCCCAAGGATGTCACATGTGAGCTAAGTCTTTCTTTTTTGTCTTTTTGTCATCGTTGTTTTTTTGACTAGGACAGGCAGTTAAGTTCCACATAAACAATTAACTTTGGAGAGGAAGTTTACAAAAGGGTCTCCTAAGCATAAAAATTGAGATAAGGCGTATGTCAGGATCCAAATGTGTTTTCTTCCCCTTCTTCTTCCTTTGCATCAACTGTGGCTATAAAACACTGCCCTCCAAACCAACTTTAATGTCCAGTGATGGGGGGGCTCTGTCCTGGATTCTTTGGAAATGTCAAGGTCATGAAAAACAAAAAGGACTCGTCCGGCTTGAAGGAGATTAAGGACACAGGACAACTGAATATAACTCATGATCCAGGATGGGATCCTAGAGGAGAAAAAGGACATCAGTGGGTCAACTGGCGAAATCTGAATAAGGCTGGTGGGAGAGATAATAGGGCTGGTGTCAGTAATATCCTGATTTAGGAAATGCACACTGGAGTATTCTTGGACAAAAGAACATGACGTCTGCGGCTTACTCTCAACTGATTCAAGGAAAAAATAATATATATGTATATATATGCAAAATGATTATTAGACAAGTGTGTTAAAAGGTTAACAGTTGAGAATCTGCGGGGGAGGATATATGGAGAATTCTTTGTACTGTTCTTGCAAAGTTTCTGTAAATCTGGAATTATTTATAAATTAAAAGTATAAACGTATTTATAATTAGAGACTTAAGTCACAGGGCACATCTCCAAATATATTTTTTTAATTTTTATATATTTTTAAAATTTTTATTTTATTTGAGAGAATGAGAGAGGGAACACAAGCAGGAGGAGCAAAAGAGGCAGAGGGAGAAGTCGGTTCCCCACGGAGCAGGGAGCCCAATGTGGGACTCCATCCAGGACCCGGGAATCATGACCTGAGCTGAAGGCAGATGCTTAACCAACTGAGCCCCTACAAACATTTTTTAAAAATTGCAACTATTTCACAAGCAGGGCTAACTCGATCACCTTAAGACATATTTTGGGGGTACCTGGGTGGCTCAGTCATTAGGCATCTGCCTTTGGCTCAGAGCATGGTCCCAGGGTCCTGGATCGAGTCCCACATCGGGCTCGGCAGGAGGCCTGCCTCTCCCTCTCCCACTCCCCCTGCTTGTGTTCCCTCTCTTACAGTCTCTCTCTGTGAAATAAATAAAATCTTAAAAAAAAAAAAGACAACGACATATTTTGGGGCTGCAATATCTTATCTTTAAAAGTTCTATAGAATGCTATAAAATTTACTTGGCAATCTAATGGTTTGGGGGAATTGGGGACATTTCATTCGATGCCCGAAGAAAGCCAGAAGCAGTTCTTTGGAATGTACTTTTCATCTTTTGTCTCTACTCTGCATCTGAGAATGACTCTCCGATGCTCTCTTCATGTTTGCTCTATCTTTATGGTCCTGCTTTTCTCAGCAGAAATTCAAGGACTGCTTCTCTTTTTGAATAAGCTATTAAGGAAAAAGCTGTACTAAAATAAAGAAGATTGAGATGTAATTGCCATCCAGAGTGTCAGGGGATGGCCATCTCTTCTCTGAAACACTGTTCCTAGAAGCAAGCAATGCCTCTACACGGAGAAAATAGTAAAAGTCTACAGTCTATGCTGCTAAGGATTTTTAGAATTTAACCACAGTGGAAAGTCTTGAACTGGCTGTACTAGTTTCCTGTGGTTGCTGTAAAAAATTACTATCAACTTGGTGGCTTAGAATAACAGAAATTTATTCTTTCACAAGTCTGTAAATCAGACCCAGAAATCAGTATCATCCGGCTTAAACCAAGGTGGCGACAGGACCTAGTTCTCTCTGGGGACTCTAGGGAGAATCCATTCATTGCTTCTTCCAGCCTCCGGTGGCTGCCTTGGTGTCCTTGGGCTCATGGCCACATCACTGCAATCTCTGCCACATCTTCATGTCACTGTTGGAGAAGGTCATCAAACCGATGTGACCACCAGTTGACCTGTAAGCTGGACCTGGGCACTCAGAGGTCCTTGCCCCTTCCCTGTCCTTGGAATGTGGGTTCCACTGACCCTTCCCGCTCCTAGAGGCTGCTCCAAGGACACAGCCTTGAGACAGTGAGGCAATGTTGAGAACATCTGGACCATATATGTGACTGAACCCAGTTAAGGCCTTGATGTAAACTTTTAAGGTTTGTTGGGCAGGTGCAGAACTGACTCATCTTGCTGCTGACCAAGAAAAGCCTCTTATCTAAGTTCCCTTTGTTTATTAAATGAGCCTCCTTCCTCAGCTCCGCCTCCCCTCCCAGTATGGAGGCTGGTTTCCTATTATTACACCTGGGGAAGGTAGGAGAGGGTTTCAAAGCCAACAGTCCCCATCCCCTTCTCCTTTGTGTGTCTCTTCTAAAAACACTTGTCATTGGACTTAGGGACCTCACAGGTAATTCGGATAAATCATTTCAAGACCCTGAACTTCATTACATCTGAAAATACCCTTGTTCCAAATAAGGTCACGTTCACAGGTTCCAAGGGTAAGGACGCAGACCTGTATTTTGGGGGCCGTCTTTCAACCCACTAAACTGGAAAGTAATTTTTCATCCCTAAATCACAGCAAGCAACTGTATGTTGAAGTAGCAATCACATCTCTAAATGTGGGACAGATGTCACCACAAATTGTGAGAGTAGGTCAGCAAGGAGACCCCGTTAGATCCAGGGGAATGCACGTTATGCGGCAGAGATTTTTTTCCTCTGACTTAAGCGGCGGTCAATAAACAGGATGTACTGCTCAGTAACGGTAATATTTAAGGAACCCTCGTAAAACCAGGTCACATCAATACGAAGGTTAGTGGGGCCTCTTTTACCTTTTCCACGTGAAACTCACAACAGTATGTCAAAGAGGCCCCAGCTCTGAAATCAAATTGCTTTTCTCCAGGAAAAATTCCTGTGGTTCTGTTCTTAAGTTTTTCCAAGGAGTTAAAACAGATATAATCAAGTTATCTATAGTATGACGGCAGTGACATTGCTTATCATTCCCTTCTAAAAGGTTACATAAATACTTCTGCTCCCTATTGAGTTTATTTTTCATCCAGTACACGTTGATTTGTTTTCCTCTCCTCTTGTTTCAAATAGGAAATGACAAAAAATAAGAGGACTATTTAAGTGGACCTCAAAAAGTAATGTCAGAAGTCTGGAAGGCTGAGCAGCCTGGCACTGCAGATCCAGAAGGGGCCTGGGGCAAAAATACTGATAAGCCAGTTTTGCGGGTGGAAGCAGTCTGCAGTCAGCTGGCCCCAGACTGCATCAGCTCAGAGCCTCAGCAGAGATCAGAATGACGGGAATCAGAATGAGGGGAAGCAACTCCAATGGCTCGGTTTAACCAGGTCGGTGCACCAATGCCCAGGCACTGCAGGGGGCGCTGCTGCTAACCCCGCCCACGTGCACTAATGATTCCCCCTTAAAAAGCTGCAGCGGTCTGGCTCGGAGGTTCCTGGGAGTTTATCTACTCCCCACCACCCCAGGTCCGCAGTCAATAAAGGGTACAAAAGCCCAGCTCCCCAGCCTCAAAACAGGACAATCTCTAGAGTGTACTCACTTTCCAGAGATCCCTGAAACATCAGGCTGATGCTTAGACTTATAAAACCCATCTTTGGCTCCTTCTCCTGCCCCTGCCTGCCTCCCTCACTCAGAACCGACCAAATGCACAAGAACATCTCTAGCTCTACTCTACCGGAGCGGACTTCAACACTCCCTGTGATGAATGTTGGGAAATTCTAAGAAAAATGCTGGTCACACAATTTTCTTGTTCCCTAAACTTTCCCAGTTCTTAATATCTTAATGCTAAGTGGAACTCTGAACACCAAACACTAAGCAGTCTTGGATGTGGAAGACGCCTGACGGCCTGAAGGAGAAGATCACAAAGTAAGGTCTGTCACGCTCACTTTTGGAACAGATGAAAGATTTCCAAGAACGGGCCACATTTGGTCCAGGAATTCTATTTTAGGGCCTTCTCCTTCTGATATTCCCGTACATGTACCAAACTGTGTTACATACAAGGCTATCTGCCACAGCACTGCGCGAACAAAAGATTGGAAATAACCCAAGTGCTGTCAGTGGGGACTAATTCAATAAATGATGGTAAATCCATTCTCTGCAAGGCAATGCAGCTGTTACAGAGAATGAGAACTCTCTTTGAATGGACATGGAATTAGCTCTAAGATGGAAAGCTAAGTAACAAAAGTACACAACAGTGAGTTTAAGTATGCTCCCATGGGAGGTGAGAGAGGAGACACACATGCGTGCACAGACACACACACACAGACACAGAGAAGCACAAAATAATTCCTGAAGGATATACATGAAACTGGTATCACTGGTGGCCTCCAGGGAGGGAAAGTGGAAACTGGAGTTTTTATACTTTTAAAATCTTGATCTTGTTATCTGTTTTTTTTAAGACTGATGTACTTATTTAAGAGAGAGAGAAAGAGAGTGAGTTGGTGAGGCGAGGGACAGAGGCAGAGAGAATCTCAAGCAGACTCCCAGCTGAGTGTGCAGCTTGATGCAGGGCTCAGTCCCATGACCCTGAGATCATGACCTGAGCCAAGATCATGAGTAGGACGCCTAACCCACTGAGCCACCTGGGTGCCCTGATCATGTTATCTGTTTTTAAAAAGTAAACATAATCTGAACAATTACACAGTCATAACTTCTGTTTGGATCAGGACTTTTATTTTTTAGAATGGCTCTGGAAGGGACCATGGAAGAATAGAGGACTGCTGGGAGAGGGAGGCAGTTTTAACAAGCCTAAAGGCTGCAGAGAAGGCCCCCTCCCCCCGCATGTTTCCTCATCTGTAAAATGGGAATACGGACACCTCCTAGAAATACTGTAACGACAAGTGAGTTCTTGCAGATCAAGCAGGCAGCACCATGCCCACAGCAAGGGCTCAACAGATCCACTGCCCAGGAATTCAGTGATGTATGATCATAGCTCATATAAAAATAATATGGTCTTTACTGTTATAAGGATGGCACTGCTGTTGCCCCATCATCCCTGACAAGGAGCAGACACAGGAGAGGCTTCTGTGGGTGCAGGAGTTATCTACGGCTGTGTACCAAATAACCACAAACTAAGTAGCTTAGAACATTTATTTATCCTGTCACCACTTCCACTGGCCAGGAGCTCCATCCAGGTTGAAGTCTTCTGCTCTAGGTCTCACAAGGCTGCAGCAAGATATTGGCCAGCCTGGGGCTTTATCTGAGGCTTGGGGCCCTCTCCCAAGGTCACGTGGTTGATGGCTGATTTTAGTTCCTTGAGCTGTAGGACTTGGTCTGTTTTTCTGGCCATCAGCTGAGGGCTGCTCTCTGCTTCTAGACACAACTCATGGATGCTTGCCACATGGGCCTCTGCCTGGCCCCTTGCCCCACTCCCAAAGCAGATGACTTCTCAGGGCCAGCAGGAGAACCTCCCTCTTGGGAAGGACCCAGTACCTTCTTCTTTTTTTTTTTAAGGTTTTATTTATTTATTTGACAGAGAGACAGAGATCACAAGTAGGCAGAGAGGCAGGCAGAGAGAGGAAGGGAAGCAGCTCCCTGCTGAGCAGAGAGCCCGATGTGGGGCTTGATCCCAGGACCCTGGGATCATCACCTGAGCTGAAGGCAGAGGCTTAACCCACTGAGCCACCCAGGCACCACTTCTTCTTTTTTTCTTAAGATTTTTGCTTACTTATTTGAGATAGAGAGAAAGCAGGAGCAGGGGGTGGGGGTGGTGGGCAGGGCAGAGGGAGAGGGAGAAGCAGGCTCTCAGTTGAACAGAAAGCCTGGTGTGGACTCAATCCCAGGACCCTAGGATCATAACCTAAGCTGAAGGCAGACGCTTAACTGACTGAGCCACGCAGGTGCAACCCCTCTACCAGTACCTCTTTTAAGGACTTCCACATGAGTAAATCAGGCTCCCTTGGAGACGATCTCCTTTTGATTAACTCAGAATCAACAGATCTGGGACCTTAACTGCATCGGCAACATCCATTCACCTTGGCATATGACATGACATAGCCACAGGAATGGCATCCCGTCAGCTCTGCTGTATTCTGTCAGCTGGAGGCAAGTCCCAGGGCCACCCCCACACTCAAGAGGATGGATTACACAGGGTTGTGACTCACTGGGGGTCACCCTAGGGTGCATCTGCCACCCTGGACTCGACTGGGAGCCTGCTCACCCTACCTGAGTGGACGGCATACCACAGTGGCAAAAGACTAGGCCTTGCCCACACCTGGCTTCAAATGCTGGCTCCAGAATTAAATGAATATTTCAACCTTGGGCAAGTTACAATACCTCTCAGCCTCTATTCAACCAAAATAAGGGGAAGATAAATAATCTAGGGTCGCTGAAAGGGTGAAACCAAGGGAAACTGCATGGGAAATTGCCTGACACAGTACAGCAAATACACAAACCTTAGTTCCCCTCTCTGGTCCCAACCCTTCCGGGAGGCACTTGTGACTTACCAACAAGGATACTAGTGATGGTTTCCTCTCAAGCCTTCCAGCAGCCCTATGCGTGACATGTAAATATGCTTTCTGAAATACTATACACATACTGTTCAATACCCCAGTGAGGGGTTTTCCCTACTCTGGCTGATTTCATCTCTGGCAAAGGGTGAAATTGCCACTGGCACCTGCTGTCGAGTCTCATAGCCCCTCCCTTCAGATCTGCCGCAGCCTATCCACCCACACGGAGCTGACGGGATCAGTTAGGATACAACCAAACAATGGCCTCATATTCACGTATCCCATCATTTTCAAATAAGGCTTAATGACACGGGAAAATACTCATAGGGTATTGGCAATGAGAATGAAATGACCCCAAACTGTTCTTTCATGAGCTCAAGATCTGACGCAAGCTGGCTGGTTCAAAACCCAGCCTCATTCTTTACAGCTGTGACTTCGGGCAAGTTACCAAACCTCCCTGCCTGTTTCCTCATCTATAAAATGCAGGTAACGACAGAACTGACTTATCATGGGGATTGAATGAGGTAACACGTGTAGAACACCTGGCCCAAGGGGAACTCAGTGAGTGATCAACTCTATGATTATTATTGAAGTATCACTTTTATCACTTGAGAGGAAAAGTTCGAAAAAGACTTCTTCACAAACAATCACTAGCACTGTGGCCAACATCTAAGGGGAATAAAGAAAACCTAGGAAACAAAGTGAGTAAAACCATGCTGCGGTCACAGGATAGTTAGTAATTCTCGATGCTTTCCAGAAGGTTCCAATTTACTCTGTACCTGGAAGATGTAATTCATTTCTCCTTTATTTCCTCCTTCCCATCCCCTTCTTAAGGAACTGTATTTTCTCCATCTTTAAAACTCAGGATGATACCCTTCCCATCTTTCACAGCAATCCTTTCTGTGGGGAATACATGGAAAGTGCTTTACAGACAATTTCTCCTTCTCTGTCAACCCACCTATCCTTTCACCTATCGGAAGTAAGGAAAAAAAAAAAAAAGTATGGCTGCCCTGGGGAAAGGAAGGGCCATGTTCCAATCAGATCAGCGCTGATTAAAACACAAACCAGGTGAACTTCTTTTTCTGTAGGAGGCTGAGCAGCTTCTAGGTTCTGATAGTGATTTCTGCCTCAGAGCTGGGATAGGGTGGGGAGAGAATCCCTCCCATTCTCCTTTCCTTCCGAAAAGCCCCTGGGGCTGCCCAGCCACCAGCAGCCAGCAGCAGCCAGCCAGTAGCCGGCTCTGCGCCAGGATGTTGCCAGGATGCCAGGAGTTGCTAAGGCCCCGGTGAGGAATGCCGGAGAGTGAGCAGCAGTCGAGGGATCGGCAGAGCCAAACTGGTGACAAAGGCAGCAAGCATGTGGCAGGCGGCGGGTCAGAGGGAGGCTTCCATGGGCAGCACGCTTGGGCCAGCATGGGAGGGCAGAAGGCAGGGGGAGGAAACAGATGGAGGTCCAGTGGCGCTGAGCAGGAAGCCCTGGGAGCACGGTGGGAGGGCGAGGACCTGGGAGGAAGGGAGCAGAGAGGAGCCCTTCCCTGACCCCGAAATTGGAGGACACATACTGACCCCCACAGGGAGTACCCGAGTGAGGCCCAGGATTGCCCTGGAGGGTCTTTAATACCCACGGTAATGCCTAAACACCCGTGGGACTCCCTTTTGCCTCATGCGGGACCACACACGCACCCACTTGTGCTCCTCCAGCCCCTGTAGCCCAGGGGACCCTCCATCTGGTGTTTTCTTCTCCTCCGGCCACTGGTTTCCAATCTGGGGGCAGGTAAAGGTTTTTGGGGTGCCCTGGAGGGGAATTCTTGCCAGTAGTGCAGAAACGCACATGCTTTGCAGCCTGAATAAATAAGCTGTGGTACTATCACTCTTCAAATTTATGCAGATGCTGTTGTCTTTACTCAGATTCAAGTGCATTGAAGAGCACTACAGAATCTTCTAGCCCATCAATGGCATTGTTCCTTTCCCAAACCATCAGACACCAAAAACACTATTACAACTTCAAATACTATTACCATCACCTCTGGCTCCTTGAAATTTCTGGATGATAAAGGGACACCCATTAATTTCTAGATATTAAAACATTTACATCACTGTTTAATGTCACCAGGCTCCGAAGGGCACAAAACACTTCATCTCTATCTCTGTGAAAGGTCACTGCCATTTATCCTGAGGAAGGATTTAGGGATGTGTATACCAGGACTTCTCTACAAGAAGTTCACCGCGGCTTTGTTTGTATATGAATAGAACTGGAAGCTTTCTGAGCTACAACAAGGGGGAGGGGGCCATGGTACAGCCATGACTGGCTACAGTGATGCTGTTAAAAACCAAATGGCAGACAAACATTAAGTGACACAAGAAAACATCTATCGCATATTAAGCCAAAAAAAAAAAAAAGGCATTTTACAAAATGGATATACGTCATTCTAATTTTCTATATAAAACAAAACAGGGGCCCCTGGGTGGCTCAGTCGGTTAAGTGTCTGCCTTCGGCTCAGGTCATGATCCCAGGGTTCTGGAATCAAGCCACACATGGGGCTCCCTGCTTCTCCCTCTCCCCCATGTTTGTGCTCTCTCTCTGTCAAATAAGCAAGATCTTAAAAAAAAAAAGAAAGAAACTACCTCAAATTATAGATGTCTACTATGAAATGGTATAAGATTTTACTTTAAAGACTAATCTTAGGGGTGCCTGGGTGGCTCAGTGGGCTGATGCCTCTGCCTTCGGCTCAGGTCATGATCCCGGGGTCCTGGGATTGAGCCCCGCATTGGGCTCTCTGCTCAGCGGGGAGCCTGCTTCCCCCTCTCTCTCTGCCT